GCGCCTGATCTTCCGCATGCGCCGCACCATGTGCGCCTTGCGCTTGGCGCGCTTCGCAAGCACGCCCTGGTCAACTCTCCTGCTGCCCACGATGACGTCGACACCGACATACACAGCACTGCGCCTCGCGACCGAGGCAGGCCGGCCAAGCCTGGCAAAGATGCCCTGCGCAGTGGACAGGCTGGCGCCGACGATCACGAGCTTGTCGTTGATGATCGCGTCGAGCTCGGACACCGTGCTCCTGAAGTCCAGCATGGCGTCGACCATCATCGACGTAGTCGCACTCGCTGAGGTAGACGAAACCCGAATGGAGTTGTCGCCGATGTAGCTCACAAACTGAATGAAAGGCTGCCTGACGAGGAAGCTGTCCTACTCCCTAACAGACCAGACCTTAATCGAAACATCACAAAACACGTCCCCCGCAGGGAGGCCACACTCAGCGCACAGGGCCTGCTCCGCATGATGACCAGCGAGCCTCAGCACTCGCGGCGCACGCCACATGTTGTACACTAGCTTCATAAAGGCCGTGGGCACGTTGAACCTGATGTACTTGTCGCGCAGCTTGGTCAGGGGGATACGCTGGTAGTGCTTGCTGAAGTCGGCCACGGCGAGCGCTCCGTGGTCGGCCTGCCTGCTGTCGGCCTCTCCCTCGGCCGCCTGGAGCCACGCGCAGTCCACAGAGGACCGCCCACGCGCAGCACCCCAATATGGCCTGTCAATCTGCTCCTGCAGTTCCCGAAGCAGTGGCCGACGTAGCCGCTGCCATACCCCGTAGAGACCAGCATAGAGCACCACCAACCGACTGCCAGAACCAGACGTCTTGGGTAGCATTGGAGTGATCAGCCAACACAGCTGCCTCGGCGGCAAGCCGATGGACTCCATCGCCGTGAACATCAGAGCGACCACTTCGAGCGCCTGATCGTCCAAGAGATGGAAATGGCGCGGATGAACATGATCAGGCGCCGCTGTGGTGTTGACCGAGAACGATCGCGCAACTGCGCGCATTTCATCAGGAGTCGCCTTCGGCAGCGCCGTTCGATCAGGAATCCAAGCTGGCACAGGTCGGGAGTTGGACCATCGCCTCTTGCACAGCTCCACCCCGTGCCGAACGACATCGCGAACATGAGCTGACACGCCCTGGGCCGCAGTGACCACCGTGGGCTGAGCAGCGTCGCGGTACTTTGTGGCGCGGCGGAGAACACGCGACCCAGCGGAAACAGCCATGGCACACCACTCCCTCCACTTCTGGTTATCCTCCTGAGTGGCTCCAGTGAGTGCGAGCTTGACGTCGACCTCGATGTCGCCGAGGAACTCGCGGCATGCCTCCTCGTCGAAGACAGCCTGCGCCAACCCGCGCGCCTGCTGAGCAGCTCGATCGAGGCGCGTAGCGAAACCCTGCCCGTGGTAGTTGGCCGCGGTGAAATTGAGGATCTCCTCTGCAGCCATCGCCAAGTCCCTCGCGGACGGGTGGGCCATCGTCTTAAACTGCATGATGCTGAGGATGGAAGACTGCAACCACTGCCACCCCTCTGCCACGGCTTGCAGGTCGGACGTGTCCTTCATCGTGTAGGTGATGTCGATCCACCGAGGCTGCAAGGAACGCGCAAAACCATTAAGAGCACGGCGATCCTGGTGGCCGACAGCATCAGCAATATTCTCGGCCGCTGTGATTGCAAAATGGCCCCACGCCGCCGAGAAGAGGCCCCATCCGACTCCAGTGGGAGACCGAGGGTCAGCACAGGCCTGGACGGCAGCTTCAGCAACGCAGCGAGCGCTGGTGTACTCGGGCGGCTGCGCCTGCGGCCCGATGATGATCTGAGTGTCCATATTCGGCGCCACCGTGTAGACCAATCGCTCGACATGCTCAGCATCACCTTTGAGGACAGCGTAAACGGGACGATGGCCTCTCTTGGCCCACTTGACATCAATGCCCACACTCGCATACATCCGCATGGCCGCTGAGTTGAGGAGGAAATAATCAATGATGGATTGACCTGTACCTCCTCGAAACGTAATAGCAGAAGTGTTCACAATTGAACACCCAACATGAGCAGGAAATTTGCTCGCTTCCAACTCGCCAGGGCACATGTTCCAGTCTCCGCCGATGACGACGGGACCGTCCAATGCCTCGGCAGCAAGGCCCAACTTCTGCAACAGTCTGCCGTTGTGCCCAGCTGCGCCCTCGCCCGTGCACAGGTGCACGTTGAAGACATGCAGGCCGACAGGCATCTCGGGTATATCAATAAGAACGGACTGCACTCGGTTCGGTGACACCTCATGCGAACCAAGAGTAGGAGGGCGCAGCCCGAGGCGATCGCGCACAGCAACAGCAACTCCTGCCGAAGGTACAGAACCACTGGTCGGCAGGCTCGGCAATGCCATGAGCTTCCAACCTCGCACACCGCACCGCGAAGCCAATGCCTCCAGGTGCTCACTGATGCGCCCGAACTCCTGCAGCAAAACCACACTTGCAGACGTGCTGGCAAGGCGCTTCTTGACGGACGCATTGCCGCCACTGGCGCTGTAGGACTCAATGCTGAACTCAGCGCCCTCGACCGGCCTGGCCCCGCTCGGCTGCGCCTTCCCGCGCCCAGGCAGGCCGCAGACGACGGGCCAGGCAGCCGCTGGGCTACCCGTGCCGCGCGCGCTTGGCCGCCAGCTCGGACCACATGGTGTCGAAGGCGGAAATGAAGCCGTCAATGTCCCCCTCGCTCCGCGCGTGGAAGAGGGCCCGCTTCTGCACGTCCGTGGGGGCAGGCATAGCTTCATCAGCGGCGTCAGCAGCAGGAGGACCAGCCCCAGCGCTAGCAGCGCGGGCGGCAGCCTTGCTGGCGACCGCCGACTTGAGCTTGTCCCATGCCTCGGACTTGAGGAAGGCGACAAGGTCGGGCTGGTCGGCGACGTCCTCCTCAACGAGGTCGATCTCGGCCGCGACCGTGGTGAGGTTATTGGCCGACTCGTTGAACGCGGCGTCCAGCGCCGCCACCTCCATCTTCTTGGCTGCGATCGTCTCCTTGCGCATCGCAATGCCCTTGGCCAGCTCATCCAACTGCCGCTCCTTCTCACCCAACTCCTTCTCCAACTTCTCCAAGCCATTCCTCGCCCGCTGCAGATCCTGCTGCGTGCGCCTATGGAGGGCCTGGGGAGACAACAGCGCACGCTTCTCCGCGCGCAGGGTCTCCAACTGCTTCTCGATTGGACCTCGCAGATCCTTGTTGCGCTCGTCAGCGGGTGGGAACTTCCTGAGGCACTCCTCAAGCTCCGGGATCCGCTCCGAGAGCTTGGCACTTTGCGATTTCTTATCATGGTCAGCGCCGTCTGCAGCCTCACGCCACGGTGCTGTCCCCGCAGGCTTGGGCCACTCCTTGGCAGGCGGTGCCAAGCGCTTCTCGATGGGATGCAACCACTCCGCGAGCTGCTTGGGGATGCCATGCACCGAGCCTCCGTGCTGTTTGGGGCCCGACTTCTTGCCGCCGCCGCCGCCAGCCTCGGCCTCCTTGTGCTGCTGCCGCGCACGGGAGACGATGGCGGCAGGCGCATCGCGCCCGCAGAGGCACTGGATGCGACACGCCCAGTTCTCCGCGCGCCCACATTGCCCGCAGCACCAGTGGGGCTTGCGCGGGCCGCGGAACATGGTGATCGCTGGCGGCTGCGGCACCATGCCTGAGATGAGAAAGAGGCGCCAAGGCGGGGCAGACCACCTCGATGCTCACCCTGGGGCTGACCAGGGGAATGACTGAAGACTGGTCGCGGACTAGCGGTATCCACGAGGAGGAGGAGGAGGAGGAGGAGGAGGAGGCAGGAGGCAGGAGGAGGAGGGAGCAGAGGAAGGAGCAGGAGAAGGAGTCGATACCACAGCGCTCTACGCAAGACGGTAAGCCCAGCACACGAGGGCTGGGAACACACATCGGAGGACGCCCGGCGGAGAGGGCAGGACAGGGCAGGGCGGGTGCCGACACCGCTCCACGCAGCGCCTCCCTCGGGGGACGGCGTTCGGGCAGTGACCCCACGGGCGCGTGCGGCAGGGCGCGCATGACGACCTCCTGCCTCCCTCCCTCCTCCCTCCCTCCTCCTCTTCCTCTTCCTCCTCCTCCTCCTCCTCCTCCCTCCTCCCTCCTCCTCCTCCTCCTCCTCTCCTCCTCCCTCCTCCTCCTAGACCTCAGAGCGACGGAGCTCGCAACGTTGGACGTTATCATCCTGCTCCTGCTCCTGCTCCTGCATCATCCTCCTCCTCCTCCGTCCCTCCTCCTCCTCCTCCTCCTCCCTCCGTCTCCTCCTCCTCCTCCTCCTCCTCCTCCTCCTCCTCCTCCTCCTCCCCCTCTTCCTCCGCCTCGTCGCTCCTCCCGTCATCAGGCATGGGAGATCCTGGCGGTGCAGCTGAAAACGTCGGGCTCTAGCGCCGCCTCTCATCTCCCTCAGCAGCGCCAGAGCTGGCTGCCACTGCTTGCCCTCTCTCGCACGCGCTGATCCCAAAGCTATGGCTCACAACGTCGGACTCCAGCTCCTCCTCCGCCTCCTCCTCCTCCCAATCTCGCTCAGCAGTGCCAGAGCCCGCTGCCACTGCACGCTCTCCTATCTAGCTGTGACCCCAACGCTGCAGCCAACATCGTCGGACAGCGAAGTGGCATCACCTGCTTCCAGTGCCCGCCTGCTCGCAGCATCTTGGCCACAGATCTTCAGCCACATGAGGGGTCCAGGCCGAACCTCCTCGAGCCCACCCCGAGAACGACCAGCATGTGGTGGGACCAGACGAACTCTGGCTCCAGAGGTGTAGCCGAAGATGTCGGCTCCAGCTTCCGACCCTCACCTCGCTGAGCAGCGACAAAGCCTGATGCCAATGCATTGAAGTCTCTCGCGCGATGGCCCTGGTGACGTAATCTGTGACGTTGGCCTTCATCTTCGATATCCCCCCATCTCCCTGAACAGCGACAAAGCCTGCTGCGCCTACTTGTTTCTCTCGCGCACGCTGCTCCAATGATGTAATTGAAGCTGCCCAAGATTTACCTTCGCATCGCAATAATGAGTGTATCACTAAAGCTCGCGACGTTGGATTCGAGCTTCGCGTCCCGCGTTGCAGTGAGCAACCAAATCGCTCGTTGCCCTTGTCCGACCCTATCGCAAGCCCTAATCCCAGCGCTGTAGCTGATGATATTGGGCTCCACATTCGCCTCCCACATCTCGCTGAGCAGCGCCAACGCCCGCTGCCATTGCTCGCCCTTCTCGCAGGCGCTGATCCCAGCACTATAGCTTATGACGTCGCGTTTCAGCTTTGCCTCCCACATCTCGCTCAGCAGAGCCAGAGCCCGATGCCACTGCTCACCCTTTTCGCAGGCGCTGATCCCGGCGCTGTAGCTTATGACGTCGGGCTGCAGCTTCACCTCCCACATCTCTCTCAGCAGCGCCAGGGCCCCTTGCCACTGCTCACCTTTCTCGCACGCGCTGATTCCAGCGTTGTAGCTGGTGGCAGTAGGATCCGGCCTCGCCTTCCACAACTCGCTCAGCAGCGCCAGAGCCCGCTGCCACTGCCCGCCCTTCTCGCATGCGCTTATCCCGGCGCTGTAGCTGATGGCGTTGGGCTCCAGAACTTCCTCCAGCATCTCGCTCAGCAGCGCCAGCGCCCGCTGCCACTGCTTGGCCTTCTCGCAAGCGCTGATTCCGGCGCTGCAGCTGATGACGTTGGGCTCCAACGTCGCCTCCCGCGCCTCGCGGAGCAGCGCCAGCGCCCGCTGCCACTGCCCGCCCTTCTCGCACGCGCTGACCCCGGCGCCAAGGCTGACGACGTCGGGCTCCACCCCCGCCTCCCGCATCTCCCTCAGCAGCGCCAGCGCCCGCTGCCACTGGCAGCCCTTCTCGCACGCGCTGATGCCGGCGTTGTAGCTGACCGGTGCCGGCCCGTGGGCCACCGCCCGCGCTCACCTGCTCGAGCTGGCGCGCGAGCGACGACCAAGCACGGGCCCTGCGCGAGAGGACTCCGCGACGCGACGCGGCGGCTTGCGCGGGCGCGCCAGCGCGGCACGCTGCGCCGGATACGAGGGCGCTCACGCGTGATGTTGCGTGGGCAGTTTGCGCGCCAGTGTCGGCGCAAACGGCCCCGGCCAGCGTCTGCGTCGCTCCTGTGACGTGCCGGCGGAGGTGCTGCCGACGAGGCGCTCGTGACGACGTCGGGGCGCCGGGCCCGAGCAGCAAAAAGCCGGAAGGGGAAAGCGGGCAACGAGCAGCAAGTCAACAGGGAGGAGCGAGGAGAAGCAAAACGAGTAAGGAGGGAATACTCATAATAAGAGGGAGAATCCTACTAAGAATAATGAGAAAACCCATGAGAATTCGCCGGCCCAACGGGCCAGAGGCGTGTTAAGATCTCCGGTAACTGGTTAACAATATTCTAGTTCGCGCGCGCGGGGCGGCCCCTGGGGGTCTCCGGGCGAAAAGTACCCCGGCAAGGTCCTGGCAAGGTCCCGGCAAGGTCCCGGCAGGTCCAGGTCAGAGATGACCGGGCAATTTTTCGACACCCCTGACGAGGATCGTGACCTCCGAGTGGGGAGCCGCAATCGACTACCCCCCCTCCCGCCCCAAGAGGCCCCCAAGAGCCCCCCAAGTTGCCCCGGGGGCCCCCAAGACGCCGCCAATGAGCCCCAAGAGACTCCCAAGAGGTCCCCAAGAGGCCCCCAAGAGGCCCCAAAGAGGGCTCCAGGGCCGGCGGAATGAGCGAAGCGATTAATAACACGAATCGTATTAATAGGAGTAAGAATAATCATACTCATATAAGTAATAATGATAATGCTAAAAGTATTAATAATTATCCCGGCAAAGCAACCTAACAGCGATGTGTAGGAGCATATCTGGAAGCACTCCCCTTCAGATTCAGATGAGAATCCAGTTGTAGAATTCTGCTGTTCTCACAGTCGTAGTCGCATTCGCGATGACAGTCGCAGTGGCAACGGCAGTCGCAGTCACAGCCTCAGCCTCGGCCTGCCTCAGCCTCAGCCTCAGCCTGCCTCAGCCTCAGCCTGCCTCAGCCTCAGCCTCAGCCTGCTTCAGCCTCAGCCTCAGTCTGCCTTCAGCCTCGGCCTCAGCCTCAGCCTGCCTCAGCCTCAGCCTGCATCAGCCTCAGCCTCAGCCTCAGCCTGCCTCAGCATCTGCCTCAGCCTCAGCCTCAGCCTCCTCAGCCTCAGCCTGCCTTCAGCCTCAGCCTCAGTCTGCCTTCAGCCTCGGCCTCAGCCTCAGCCTGCCTCAGCCTCAGCCTGCATCAGCCTCAGCCTCAGCCTCAGCCTGCCTCAGCCTCAGCCTGCCTCAGCCTCAGCCTCAGCCTGCCTCAGCCTCAGCCTCAGCCTCAGCCTTTCAGCCTCAGCCTCAGTCTGCCTTCAGCCTCGGCCTCAGCCTCAGCCTGCCTCAGCCTCAGCCTGCCTCGGCCGCAGCATCAGCCTGCCTCAGCATTCAAAATGTGGCCCAGGAATGGAGTTCTGGGAACTAGAAGAACACGAAGTGGCCTACAGTTGGCTCCGGGCATTCAAAATCATGCCCAAGAATGGAGTTCTGGGAACTTGAAGAGCACGAAGTGGCCTACAGTTGGCTCCGGGCATTCAAATGTGGCCCGGGAATGACGTTCTGGGAACTCGAACAACACGAAGTGGCCTACAGTCGGCTCCGGGCATCCAAAATGTGGCCCGGGAATGGAGTTCTGGGAACTCGAAGACCACGAAGTGGCCTACAGTTGGCTCCGGGCATGCAAAATGTACGCCGGGAATGGAGTTCTGGGAAGTCGAAGACCACGAAGTGGCCTACAGTTGGCTCCGGGCATCCAAAATGCACGCCGGGAATGGAGTTCTAGCAGCGCCAAGAGCGATTTTGCGAGGATGTCCCAAGCGATTTGGGCTTCGACGGCAGCCGCGCCGGGTCCCGCCCCGGGTCCCGCCCCGACCCCCCTGAGGAGTCATGATGCTCTCTTTTGACCCCACTAGAAACCTATCAGTCTTCGCTGTTAGGTAATAACAACAATAAGAACAATAATCATAAGAGTAGGCGTAATAATACGAATAATAAGAATAATAATTAGACATATGGGCAATAATCACACCCCTAGATGGCCTAAAAACCTCGCCCAGACATGCGTATCCAGCGAAGCTGTGCGATATAGTTTGGATCACCTTTCACACGCACTCTCTGACAAGGTAATCCAATCGAAGCTCAGGCCTGAGACGAAATAAATTGTCGAACATCGTCGGGCTGTCATCTTGGACGGCCCCTCTTTCGCCCAGCGGAAAAAGCATTGAATTACAAGCGAGGCGTGCTGAGCTCGAGGGTGGCTGAGGGCGGGCAGACTTTGAGCCACCGCAGTTGCGGGGGGTCAGCATTTACAAGCTCGGGCGAGGAGGGGCCTGTTGGGGTATTCACGTCTACGACTATACACACCCCTAGATGGCCTAAAAACCTCGCCCAGACATGCATATCCAGCGAAGCTGTGCGATATAGTTTGGAACACCTTTCACACGCACTCTCTGACAAGGTAATCCAATCGAAGCTCAGGCCTGAGACGAGATAAATTGTCGAACATCGTCGGGCTGTCATCTTGGACGGCCCCTCTTTCGCCCATACCCGTATCATGAACTGGTGGCCGCTACATTTCACGAATCTTTTGAAGGAGGACCTGCGGCAGGCGCTTGCTGCGCTCAGCCGCCTTCCTCTGCTTGGCCAAGGGAACCTTGCGCAACTGCTGCAAGATCAGGGCCCCCTTCTCGTAGCGAGCCACCGACGCGGAGGATGCCCATCGTCCGCGCTTCTGAACCTCTTTCAACGTCCTCCGGGAGTGCGCCTTGTCGTTGCTGGCGCCCGAGTGCCGGAAGACGTGCGGGCAAACGCCCAGGGAGGTGTAGCCCAGGCGGCAGGCCGACTTCTTCACCTCGCGCTCGTAGTCGCCGAGGGTGAAGTCGAAGATCTTCTTCTTGTCCGACACGTTGGGCTTGTGGAGCAGCCGCAGCACGCTCGTGAGCCAGGGCCTCGCCACGTCGCCCACGAGCAGGCCGTCGTCCTGGCCGCCCGTCTTCGTGGTCTCGTGCCACTCCGAGGGCGCGATGACGATGCCATAGTGCGCGCCGAGCTTCGCGACCGGCGCCGGCGGCAAGATCTGGCCCTGCCTCAGCCCCACCACCTCGGAGGGCCGCGTGTAGGTGTCTGTCTGGATCACCACCGCGGCCCCCATCAGGGGGTTCCCGTGCTCCACCAGGTCCAGCGCGATGTCGTTCACGATGATGTCGGGCAGCGGCAGACGCATCCTCCCGGGCGCCCGCTTCGTCCAACCCTTCAGGGAGGCCAGCGCCTTTGGGAGGTCGACCTTGCCCGTCGTCCTGAGCTTCAGCAGCTTGTACCCGTAGAAGGCGTTGCGCCCCTCCCAGACCCCGAAGCCGTCGTCGAACAGGTCCACGAAGTAGAGGGAGAGGCTGTCGTCCAGGCGTGCCAGCGGCTGCAGCGGCAGGCGCTTCTCCTTCGCGTAGGTCTCGAACTCGTGGACCGCCGTCGCGTACCTCTCCAGCGTGCCTCCGGTCACCGTCGCCATGATCAGCGAGTCTTTCCGCGGGACGGTGATGGGGCCTGCCCGCCGGGGGCCTGTAGGCTGCCGCGGTCGGCCCTTCCCCGGCGGCGGCTGCCGCCCAGTCCGGGTGGGCCCTCCAGCGCCGGGGCCGCTCGTCCTGGCCGAACTGGATGATCGGGTCGTGCTCGAGGAACGAGTCGGCGGCCTGGCAGGCTGGCTCACGGGGTTCATCGACCTCACCGTGAATCGCTGCTCCTCGAGCCGCCGGCTGACGGCCCGCGGCCCGCTGGAGGCCATGGCGGACCTCGCTGGGGTCGAAGGCTCGCTGGCCCGGGCGTATGTTGCCCGGCAGGGCCGAAGAAAGGAGCCTGGCCCAACACGAGCCCAATGCTGGCGGGTAGGCGGCGGCAAGTGGTGTGAGATGACCGTGTAGCAAGACCGAGTGTTTATGTCGAATGCGAGGTCGATCTCCCAGGGACTGTAACGCTCTCAGGTTTGTCAGGATTCGAGTAGGTTTCCGATAGGCCGTGCCATACATGCTCATATCGAAGTTTACCTCGACGACGTCCGCGAGTCCATGAAGGCGAGCGATCGGGTCGAAGTTCCAGAGTCCCGAAGTCCGGGGGTTTTCCACACTCCAATAACACCCACGACGTGATAGTATATGACACAACGTAGCCGTAAACAGTGCGAACTCGATGCCCAGACGTTCCCGGGCCCTGGCTCGAACGTGGTTTCGGATCCCCCTCCGAGCGATACTCCAAACCTGACAAGGCGTTCCCAGGTGCACATATATCAAACGCCCTTCTCGGGCCAGCCTCAGGATATACTCTTGTGTACTGCGACGAGAAAGATCAAATTCCCAGCCGTCTCTGATATCAACTGAATCCGCGAAGGGAAGCCCCTCCGCCAGGCAAGCTCGAGTCAGCTCACCCTTTCCACCGAAGAGCTCCATACAAAAAACTGATTTACCAGGCTCGCTCTGAATTGACGGGCGTACAACAGATGCTGAGGATGCCGACGGAGGTGACCGAGAAGAGGAGGAGGTCGTGTAACTCGCAGCCGGAGCGGACAGGCTCGGGGCGGCGTCTCGACGCTCGGGCCCCCGGTTCAGCCCAGCAGGCTTCTTCAGGTCCCAGCGCCGGGAGTCCTCGTCGCTCGGGTTTCGGTCAGTCTCGATGTACCTGAGCCGCCAGGAGATCTGCCCGCCCAGGCGGTAGGCGGCTGCGCGCCTGCAGAGGGCCTGCAGGCCCGCGCTGGAGCGGCCCTTCTCGAAGGCCCCGACGGTGACCTGGCTGTCGCTGATCGAGAGCAGCTTTGTGCCCATGAACATCACCGATCGGCAGTGCCGTCG